TGCTTGCCACTGAAGTATGAGGAATAGAGTTTGAGATTCCGTGAACCCAAGAGAAACCCAGTAAGTGTAGCAGCTCAGCTGTAACTCTAGCCTCCTAAGGCAGAGATGGGATTCCCCAGAGTGAGCTGACTAGCCAAGCTGACCACATTGCTGAGCCGTGGATATGATTAAGAGACCCTACTTCACTGGAAGAGGTGGAAGAGCTATTAAAAATGATTCCCAAGATGATCCTTGGGCCTCCACATGCATGTACCCCTACATGCTCACACCTGACATAGGTAAACATGCATACACACATGAAAAATGAAAACAGAAGAAAATGAGAAACAGATAATTCAATTACACAGTTACATCAACATTGGCACATGTTGCCACAAGGAGATATTGACAGGAGAGCTGCCTCCAGGAGCAGCCTGCAAACAGCCTCGGGCTCCATGTCTGTCCTGCAAGTATCAGGCTGCAATGTGCACCAGCCTACGGAGATTGCTAGTGGGGCCTGATTGCACAAAACTGGCACAGGCCTAGAGGGTTGGTGGCTGACCTGGGGTTCCAGGAACCACAGCTTCCCTTAGGCTGAATACTCTTAAGTGCATTTCAGAGGTTAGGTATAGGTCACTGCTACTTCTCTAAGAGTGGTGATGACCAAGGGTCACACAGCTGACTCATTGAGCACTTGTAGTTGGAACGGGTCACGTTCAATGTAAACAGAAGGAGGAGGAAGAGGAAGAAGAAGGAAAAGAAGCAGAAGAAACAGAAGAGGAGGAGGAGAAAGAAGGAGAAGGAGGAGGAGGAGGAGGGAGGGAGGGAGGGAGGGAGAGAAGGAAGGAAGAGAGAAAGAGAGAAAGAGACTTAATTGGAAAGGGCTGGAGCTGCAGTTGAAAAAGAACACAATATAAGACACCAGCCTGTGGTTCCCCCTGGCACACTAGCACCTAAACAATTGTGGAGGAAACTGTGACACCAGCTACATCCAGTAGGGAACCAAGCCCTGGATGCTGTGGAGAGGGGGTAGGCCTTGACATTACAACAATCTCCAGGCCAGCCCCAGGCAGCAAAAGGCTCAAATTATATTCATACTATCAAAGGTATGTGCTCTGCTGGACTCTGCTGGGTGCTATGACCAAGGCCATAGTGAAAGGAGGCTCTCCAGGGTCAGCTCCCAGCTGTGCTGTGGACGATGACACTCTACCTATGCCTTATATGGGGACCAGGCTGTGTGTGCAGAAAAGCACAGAGCACAGTCAACAGCAGGACAAAAGCCAGCGGCCACTGCTAACACTAAGGGCTGCAGAAGGATTGGGGTTGGGCAGATGGTCTAGCTAGTACGGTGCTTGCCGCACAAGCAGGAAGACCTGGGTTCAATCCCAGCACCCACCAACATGAAAGCTAGTGGTGGCAGTGGGTGTCTGTCATCCCGGTGCTGGGAAGGTGGAAAGGACATTCTCTGGGGTTTTCTAACCAATCAGTCTAGCCGAACTGGTGAATACCAACTTCAGTAAGAGACTGTGTCTCAAAATGTAAGGCGAGGGCTGATGAAAACAATCAAATGTCAACCTCTGGCCTCATGTACACCACACACACACACACACCAGTACCAAATCAGTGAGGACAGCAAAGATACCTGCTGCCCCTTATAAGCTGACATAGTGACTGACACTGGGTTTGAACGGGCTCCGTGCCTTAACTACTTACTGCACACACATGTGCTTTCCAGTCAGCTGAGAAACAAAAGTGTACATTTACATGTAAAGTATGCACATATAAATAAACACGCATGAGGCTAAAAGCCCAAATTCTACAAGGCTATAAAAGTTAGGCCTTTCCCTGGACACCATCTCTCCCACTGTTTGGTTACCACTATCTAGAACATTAGGACTACAGGTGGGCTACAGATGAGGGCTCCCTACAACAGCAGGCAGACATCCACACGAAGGTTCCACACTGTTGGGAGACAGGGATAGTTCAGAACCTCACCTGATACTTCAGACCTCATCTGTGACACAGGAACTCAGGCTGGCCTTCTACGAGTCTAGGGGCTGTAGCTAACAGTGACCAAAAGTCAGACAAAAGTCAGGGAAACAAGCTTGGGTCTTCCTGAGACACACAGGCACCAACAGAGGTGGGCCGTCAGATGCCATGCTTCTTGCAGGAAGTATGCATTCCAAGCCTGACACTGGTTCCAAGCATTCCTGGAAGGGCTAAGCACTGTGTAGCCAAGCCAGCTGGTCCAGTGTCTCTCTTCCCCTCCCATAAATCTCCCCAGTCCAGTGCTCACCTAGTCCAGAAGTCGGTAGAACACCTGCACCCCACACAGCATGCTGGTGTGCAACAGGACCTTTTAAATACAGAGCACCCCTCTTTATTAGGTCTCCTGCAGTGTCCAGGTGCCCAGTGGGCGGCACCTCCCTGTGCCCATATGCCTGGGGCCTGGAGTCATGTGCAGGAGAGGCAGGATGTGTGCTGTCGGGACTTTGCTCTGGCATCACCATTCCTATGGGAGACAGGCCACAGTGACAGCCCATCTGTGCTCTACCTTAACTCAGACACTAGGACAGCCTGCCGGAAGAGACTTGTCAGTTGCCTGACCACACCATCGCCTTCTCTGGGATGGGCTTGGGTGGTGGGGTTGCAGCCGCTTCCGAACCTGCATCATACTAGGATTGGCTCTAGTAGAGGGTGGCTCTGCTGTCCAGGAAGCAAACTCGGATCTAGTTAAATTTCACAATTGGGAAAACCCATCAGAGCTGGGACGGGAAATGCTTGTACCACAGAGTCCATGGGGAGTACCCCAAAAACCCTGTGACAGAAAACCACTTTATGACTTCAAAAATAACAAACTGCGAACTGCGAAGAATCTTAGCTGACAGCCCAAACCCTTCTAGGGCCTGCCCTTCATCTGTATCCTTGCTGTAACAGGAAGTGGCGAGTTCGTCAGACTCCAGTGTGCAGATCCTAGCCTGTTATTTTCTGTCCACTAAATGCTTAAGCTGCTTGCTAAATCTGTAGTTAAGTGACAGATGGGCTGCTAGGGGCTGAGGTGGCTTGTGTGTCCTTAATCCAAAGCTATATACTTACCCCTCCCAGGGCAGTTCAGAGTCACTTGGAGTAGGAAGTGTCTGAGCTTCAGACTTAAGGGACTTCCTCCAGAAAGGGAAGCTTGACGGCTTATCCATCTACCCTCTAGAAAAACTTTTCAATAAAGCCTTCCATACAGGCAAAGGCTCTGCAAAGCATGGCTTGGGGGATGTATAGCAGAGAATTCTGTGGACAAGTACAAATACGTTCTTTAGCCACAGGCTGCAGACGCCCAAACAGTTATACACACCAAGGTTCTGGACAGAGCCTCATGGGCACATGCTTTTGGACAAAAAAGACCTGGCCCTAAAATCAAACAAAGTGGGTTAAGATTGCAGCAAGGACGGGTGCATAAGGAGTGAGGAGCTAGCTTTCGGAGAGGAAGATGCTTCATGCAGCCTGAGTAGAAAGGGGAGGGGCAGGAACAGAAAGGCAACAGGACAGAATAAGGCAGACCAGATCAGGATGGGGGTAGAGGCAGGCTAATACGGTGAGGATTGGAAAGAATTACTAGGGATGGGTTGTTTAAGATGACCAGAGTGGAGCAGCAGCAGGGTGACCAGGTTGGATTGGGGTAGGGTAAACCAGAATGGAATTGGTTAGGGAGGAGCCCCCAAATCCAAAGGAAGGGATCAAGGCTCCCTTAGATGAAAATCTCAGTTAGGCTTCCAAGCAGCAGATCCAGGAGGAAGAAGAAGACCCACTGGTTCCACAAGTGACTCTGGAAAGAGTTGTAGGGTAGGAGGTTGTGGAATGGAACAGAGGGATAATTAGGCTCAGAGATGAATGTACCCTAAGTCCTCCTGCTGGGCACAGCCCCTGGCAGTAGGGACCAACTGATAGCAGCCTTGCTGAGTCCCACAGGCAGCTGCCTTGTCTCATATCTGTCTGGCTCCAGATACAAGCAGGGAACGGGGTAAGACCTGGGGCCTGATATGAAGGTTGCCTTCCCCCCTCTCCGTGTTCAACTCTGTCGACCATCAAGCTCCCACGGGTGATAACCAACCCCATTAGAGGCTTTGAGAAGAAGCCCTTGCCTGGGAAAGTGACAACTTCAACGGGCTTCACAGACTTCACCTTAATATTACGTCTGATAAGCTACACATTTAAAAACACTATCTCCTCTCAGAGCTGGTTCCTCACAGTTGGAAATACTATTCAGCCTATAAACCACAGGGTCACAGACGTCTGAAACCGTGAGCTCTACTCATTAAGCAAAGAAAGGCCCCCAAAGTGACCATAGCACCACAGATCTGGTCCCAGAGTAGGAGAGGTTCCGCGTGCCAGGTCTCACAGGGAGAGCCACAGGAACAGATGGTAACTGTGCCTGGATCCAGGTTCCCACCAACCAACCGCAGCACACCGGTTCCCTCTCACGTGGGAACTAGGTTGTATAAAGTTGATTCCGGGCACAACCACCTCAGGGAGCGTTACTAACAGCCGAAATAGTGTACTCGACACAGGAAACAATCTGCAAACATGGATGTGGAAATCCTCCCGCCAGGTTATGCCAAGAGGTTCGCAGTCCGCTGCTGAACAAGAGGACCATCCAGGTTCGGGCACTAGGCCACCGAGACACACAGTCGGCCTCCTAACTGTGCGGAGGCGCTCAAAAGGGGCTGCTTGACGCGAGGGACAACCCCCCGCCCTCCGCCCACCACCAGGCCTCCTACTGGCGGGAACCCGCGCCAGGCCCGGGATGAGGTTGTGGGGCTCAAGGGATGGAGTTCAGGGGATGGTACCTAAACCACAGAGGGTGTAAGTCAGCATGTGCGCAGGCGGCGGGAAGCGGGACCCTGGCGCGGGCTCAAAGGGTGCTGCAGGGGAGGGGCGCGGCTCTCCAAGGACCGGGCGGCGCCCAGCCCCTCCCCACCGCATCCCAGGCGCATCCTGGGCAGAGCACAGAAGCAACGCGGAGAACCCACCTGGGCCTTCTGCAGGGCGCTCAGCCGCAGTTCGTGCACGAAGGGGTTCCGCCCCGGGGGCGCTAGCCGCCGCGCGTCGCCTGCCCCTGAGCTGGAGGAGGGGGCGGCCCGTGGTCCGCGGCCCCGCAGCCTCATGGCGGCCTGCGCCTAAGCACCGAGCGGCGCAGACGGAACACAGCCGACGGAGATCAGCGGAGCGGAGCAGAGCCGAGCGCAGAGGAGCAGAAGGCGGCAGAGGTAGCAGCAGAGCGCGCGGGAGAGGGCCGAGGATGCGCGACCGCCCGGAGGCGCAGGCGCGGGAGGGGCGGCGTGACGTGGGTGGGGCCAACGGGATGCCCCGCCCCGACCGCTCTGGACTATGATTGCGCCTGCGCGGCTCGAGGCTCATGGGCTTTCCTAGAACCTGGGGCAACCTGCGGTTTCCCATGAGTGGGGAGACCCTGAGATTTGGACCACAGAAACGAGGCTTGTAGGCTCAGCGGCCGCTTAGGACCCCACCGACGCATCTGAGCCCGCCTGCACCCGCACCTGCGACCCTGGAAAGAGGTTCTCGGAGCGACCCGAGACTGTGCCAGGCCCGCTTCTCTGCGCAGCACTGTCCTGGCAGGCAGTTTCCTTCCCTTAACCACTGTAATCTATCACTCGCCATTGTGGGTGAAATGGTTGCGTTGGGGGACCCTACTTTGTGTTACGCTATTAACTAGGGCTCAAAATAGCCTTCCTGTTAAAATATATACATTTGACTCCCTGAATGCCTTTTGTAGTTTGTATCACTGTTTTTAACCAGGACACAAAATAGCTTTCTGATCAAAAAATGTCTTTTGTAGCAATACCAGGTGTATTTATTTGTATATCGTGGAACCCTCAAAAGGCAGGTGGTGGGAGACTGAGGGTCCAGCCTCAGTCACCAGATTGAGCCAAGTTCTGCCGAATTCTGAACCCCCTCGGCTTCCTGTCTTACCTCCTGCAAAGCCCTGTGTTCCCGTGGATACCAGAGCTCTGAGACCCCACCACATCCTCTCACAGAAGCCTGTTCATGGGGTGACCAGAGCCTCTGATACCTGCTGACAAGTGGGGACCAGGCTGAGCCCTGTTCTGTGTTTTGAGAAGTTGGCTAGGAGGAAAGTGCACTTGCAGGTCTTGTCCCTTCAAAGCTTCATTTTGTATTCCACACCTGACTTCCTTCACCTTGAGACTCTCTTTGTCTGCTCTAAGATGAGCCTTGCAGAAACAGCAGTTCACACAGCTTTTTTCTCTGGGCTACGAAGCCTGTGGAGGCCCTTGAACTATGAACAGGCTTAATGCTCTGTTGTGTTGCCCTGTGGCCGAGCCATGAGCATTCCACTGACCCTAGCTTTCAATTCTCATTGCTCTAGCCTTAGACACAAGAGTGCAGCGTCTAAGGACATTCAGCTCCTTGTCAAGAAAACCCCAGGACCAAAAGGCGTGTTTGCATACAGATCTTTACCCTAAGGAAGACAGACTGTCTAGGTGCCCCCTAAAGTCTGTAGGCAAAGAGACCTGAGGGTGTCCTGCGTCAGGATTCCTGTAGCCTCAAAGTTGGGTCTCAAGATTGTGGACGTCTTGTAAGTGTGTTAGCCCAGGTCCTCCAGCCACAGAGGGCAGGATGAGTTACCTGCTTGATATAAGTGTGATGGTTCATCACTGTAATTGCACAAGTGAGGAAGTTGAGGTAAGAGGATTACAAATTCCAGACCAGCCTGAATTAGATAAGGAGACCCGTCTCAAAAATCAAAATAGCTACACAGTGTGTGTGTGTGTGTGTGTGTGTGTGTGTGTGTAGTGTGCTTGACAGTGTGTAAGAGAAATGCCTATTGAGATGAACAGAAGTCCAATTAAAGCTCTTGGCTTGGGGAACTGTTAGAGTATGTTGTGAACTGTAGTGTGTTCCACAAAGTTCTGCTATGCAGTACCTATGGAGGTGACCTTATGTGGGAAGAAACCTTTTTGCAGATGATCAAGATGAATCTTATAGGTTGGCCGGACCCATCCAGAATTACTGATGTCCTTATAAGTGGGAGTTTTGAACAAGGAGACAGGCGCTTGGGAGGGGGGGAGCACTGGTAAGAACAGAGTTTTTGCTGATATAGGCTACTCAGCCATCCGAGCTGGAGAGAGCTGGGAGGGTTCTCCCTTAGGGACATCAGGAAGAATTGCCTAGACCTGGATCTTGAACTTCTATCTTTCTGGGCTGTGAGAAGATACAGCTGTTTGTTCACACCCCCAGGAAGTACATTACAAATCCTCGAGAGGATGAGGTGAGAAGGACACCCTGGGCACCCTGTCCCAGCTCCACAGTCAATGCAGAGTGACTAGGCCAGGCAGGATCCGTGTTCGAGTCCTAGGAGAGGACTTGCCTTAGCTACCTGCCCTGGCCTGCATTTGTGGAAGCCCCATGAGATGCATGGCCTGGTGGAAACCCACAGTGGATCCTTGGGTCAATGAGGCTTGTTTGGAGGAGGCTGGGGGAAGGAAATGAGTTGTTTAGATCAGGTTTTGATGAGACACAAAGGCAAGGAAGTGGCTGTCAAGGGAGCCAATCCTGCTCACAGATGAATGTACATCGGAGGGGAAGGTGGGAAGTCCTCTGTTTTAGCCCCTTTGTACCACTGTAACAAAACACCCAAACATAGGCGGTTTATAAGACACAGAAAATGATTCTCTTGCACTTCCAAGTCCAAAATAGGAGCCAGCAGGTTTAAAATCTGATGAGAAACCAATCTCTGCTTCCAAGATTCCACTTGAGCATGGTGTCCCCAGAGGGGACTCCAAGTCCTCACATAGCAAGAGAGAGGCTGAGTGGATATCGCAAGCCCTTTTATAGCTGTAGTGGCAGTAATTATTTCCTCCCTCTCATTCACTTGAATTTGCTATTCTTTCACTGCCTTTGTAAGGCAGGAGTGCAGACTTTTCTTATTCAACACTGTTCATTTTCTTGTAAGCGCGGCTTTGTCTGTGTCCCGCGAACGCTGGCCTGCTGGTTTTCTACTACTTTCCTTTGATTTTTAATTCACTCTCTATTTTTCCTGGTGGTCTCTTTGACCCATGTGTTGTTTAGTTAGATGCAAAGAAATGTCCAAAATATTTGGAAAGGTGCCAGACACATTTCTGCCATTAATTTTAATAACTCCTTTGTGGTCCCGACACAGGCTCCGTGATCTCATTGCATTTATGGCCTGTAATTATGCATTTGGGGTGGAGAGTTCTGTGAATGCGGGTGGGTTACATCGGTGCATAGTTTTGTGCAGGTTCCATGTCTTTTTACACGTGTGTTGCTTGTTCTGCTCATTACTGAAGCCAACCTTATTTAGGCACTTTTTTATTTTACTTTTAGCTCTGGTCTTCTGTATTTTCCTGCAGTGTCTTTAGGTACATACATCCTCAGAGGGCTTGTTCCTCCACTAATCAACCTCTTTATTACGATGGAGCCTCTGGCCCATCTTTATTGTTGTTCACTTTTATTGGCATGTTTCCCCATCTTGTTACGTATTTTGCTTTTTAATCAACCTCTAAATCTAGTCTTTTCACAACGGTGTTTAGACAAATAGGCTTGCCGATTCATCCGATAATTCTAGCACTTGAGAAGCTGAAACAGGAGGACCTCTGTGAGTACAAAGCCAGCCTAATGTACATAGCAAGACTCTTGTTTCGAAACCAAAACAAAACACTCCCCAAAGCAAACCAAAACAGCCGTGTTTAGATCTCCTGTGTCTGAGGTGCCAGCAGACTAAGGTTTAAATAGTCGGTCCTGCTGTTTGCTTTCTAATTAACTTCTCTGGCTTTGCTTTGTGCTTTTCTCTTTTGGGCCAATTTAGCAGGCTTTCCATCTTATCTCTACCGTTGGCTCATCAGCTATACATCTTTCCTTTAACATGTTAGTATCTGTTGTAGGGCTCAACATGCATTCTCTGAAGGCATTTCAAGTACTATGATGCCACTTAACATGTGAGATTTCACAATATCCACTTTCGTTTCCTTCCCACCCTTCCTGCCTCTGTTCTTGTATATTTTAATTTTATATACTCTAAACCTCTACGGCACACTATTATTATTTTTGCTTTGAACAGTCAATTATCTTTCCAAGAGATTATAGAGAATTTAAAAAAGACTTTTGTATTTGTGCCAATGGTTGTCTTTTAAGCTCATTCATTGCCCTGTGCAGATCTGAATTTTCTTCTGTTGCTGTTTTCCTTTCTCCTGAGGAAATTCTACTAAATATTTTGAAGTGTAGACCTGTTTGTTTATAATTTTATGCACTGAAGTTATCTGAGGTGTTTTTTTAGCTTGCCTTTGTTTCTGTGAGTTTTCTTCTGATGACCATACAGTTCTGCAGCAGCTAGTTTGTGTCTTATGCTTCTGTGTACTCCCAGGTCCTTGCCAACACTCAGTCCCTAGACCAGCATCCTTGTTGTGGTTCCTGACTGGATTTGCAGTGGGAGCCTCTTTAGATGTATTTATTTATATATGTAACTCACCTTCAATGAGATATCTGTTCAGATACCTTTTTTTGTAGTGGATCTGATGAGATTGTTTGTTTCTGAGACAGAGTCTGCCTGTATAGCTCAGGTGGCCGGAAACCCAATTATTCTTCTACCGTAGCTTACTGTGTGCTAGGATTACAGACAGACACCCTGTGACGTTTAATATATCCTGAATTCATTTCCTTATGACTTATATGACTTAACAATAGATTCTAACATCCTCTAGCTGTCTTTTAACTTTTGAACAGTATTTTTTTTTTGTTTTTGAATAACATCACAATCTCACTCTGTTGCCCAGGTTGACCCCAAACTCACAGGTCAAGTGATCCTTCAGTCTCAGCCTCCAGTAATTGGCACTGTGGGCCTGAGCCACCACACCTGGCTGTCATATGGGAATCTTGAAAGAAAAAGACTCTTTACCCAGTAGACAAAACACAATTTGTCTGGCCTTTAAAATTTCACTCCACAATGTTCTGTGACTTGCCATGCATAGACAGTTCACTTCTGCCATGTGTGGTAGCTTTGAGCTATCATAGACGATCCTTTTAATTTTTGACTGTTTATTGCGAGCATACAAAAACAAGCTTGTTTCCCATTTTAATTCTGTCTCTGTGACCCCAACTATAAAATTATTTTGTTGCTAATTCATAATTGTGATTTTGTAACTGTTATGAATCATAATATAAATATCTGTTATGCAGGATATCTGATATGTGAGCCCTGTTAAAGGGTCATTCAATGCCCTCCAAGGGGTCTCGACC